GAGAGCGTGAGGTATTTCTCTCTTCAGAGAACAGCACAGAAAAGCCAGGCATCAAGGAAACCTGGGTTCTACTCATACACTAATCCAGATAGACACAACTTGGAGTGCAAATTATGCCATGTCCTGGAATAACAGAAATAGCGTTCTCTTTGCCAGCTAAATAAACACACCAAGACACTTTAGCTAAAAAAAAATGAAAAACAAAAAACTCCCCCCCCCCCCACTCACACAGGAATAACCCCACTGATGCCACATTCCACCAATAGTTCAAGAGTAGTCTGAGGTTCAGTTTGCACGCTCAACACAAATCCTTCCTCTGCTGAGGTGTAGGCTTTAGACTCAAAGCCAGTTCAATGCAAATAACCAGGCTAATCTTAGCTGTACTGAAAAACAACAGACTTAGATTCTAAGTGTAAGAAGAGATGGGTCAAGCAAAAGTGTAAAGTTAGAGGGCCCTGGAATATTAACATGAGGCAATGTATAATTTGGCAAGATTGTAAACACCTTATTATAACTTAAGCAGAAAAACACATCTGTAAGCTTCACTCTAAATAAGCAGATCAGGCTTTATTTTGAGCAATAAAAGGGATGTTCAAGCTAGAAGTCATGCTACAGCACAGAGGATTCTCAAATACTTGTATTAGACTTTGTTTTTACTTGTGGGAGTGATGAGAAAAGAAGGGACATTGGTTAGAAGGTAAAGCCCTGACCTTCCCTTAAAGCTATCAGGCTGCCAGAAAGCACTCTGGAGGCTCTGGAGTTAAGTCACTTCATGTGTTTTTTCCTCATCCTATTACAGCGTTGTTGATTTTCCCCATAACAATCCTATTTTGTAGTTGCTATGACAATTTGCAGCAATACTTATACTGCTACACATACAATATATGCAGAGATCAAGAGAGACTTCTTTCTTTCCCAGAACGTAATGGTCTTATGCTTTGAGTAGGAAAATCACATTCGGTCATGCTGGTTAACTCCACTAGTACACTTGCTCTCCAGATCATCCTCTGCCCTCTGCAGCTTCATGTTTCCTCTTATGCCTCCCTTCAGAGTTTGAACCCAATGCATATGCTTGTGTTGCTAAGCAGGATGTAACTCTGCAGGATGCCCCAAGTCGTCTAGCTTCACACCTTGGCCTCACTCTTAAAACACTGAGGTCAGGTTGGCACTCAGTTTTAAGAGCAGAGAGTCTATTTTGACAGTGGAGAAGCTAAGCATATGGCTGAAGATGGACAGAATCAGGGTTACAGTAGCCTTCTCTCTTACCCGTCTGTGATGCAGCTCACATCCTAACAGTTACAGAATAGAAACAAACCTACAAGATGCACCAGTATCAGTAAATAAAAAGACTGTGCATTCAAGACAGTTTCATACTCCCTCTTCGGTGTATGGAAGCAATTTTGAGGGAGTTTACAGCTTAATGCAGAGGGAGAACTGAGTAAATAGAGAAAAACTGAGATAATGATGTAGGGGCCACATGCTGTCTGATTAACAGGCAAGGACATTCAGTCTTGTCCTTTACTTTTAACGCATAACCTTGAGCATATGGATTACTCTTTCCTAGTACCTTTGAACTCACGAGTCACTCAGCAAGGTACAACGCTGAGGGACTGAGCGTGGCACGCACGCTCTGCACACGCTGCTTCTCCAAAGCTGCAAGGCTTCTCAGGATTATAGCAACTCTGCCAGGCTGCCTGAAAGGGCTAAAAACACCACCAAAGCACATCTGATCCTTGAAACTAGCGTGCAAGTGCTCCCATTTGGATACTAGTAAAAAGGCTGACATCATTATTTTGATCCCATTTTGGGGAAGGGAAACAAATGGTTGTGCTTGTGTCCTCTAGTTTTTAAATCAGGACGAGGCAAAGAGACGCTCGAATCACATTTCTGCTGGCAGTGTCCAGTTATCAAGCATTTGCTGTTCCCAGTCACCTGGCTAACAAATGTGAAGCACAAGGACCAGATCCTGCAAAGGTGCAAGTCACCCTGACTGCAGCAAGGTCACTCGAGCTATCAACTTACCCCAGCTGCAAATTTAGCCCTAGCAGTTCCACATAGTCTCTCTCTTCCTTTTTCTTTACTCTAATACTTCATTTTGCTGTGGATCAGTCCTTTCTGTGCCCTCATTTACACAGACCATCGCTGCTCCAAGAATATCGTAATATCCATAGTCTTGACATTAGACCCATAGCAACGGGCTTGCAGTCATCTTATGCTTATCTGATAAACTGATGCTTTATGGAAACGATTACATTCCATTTGTATTGCCTTGCGTTAACACACTCCGAAGGGCTAGATCCCCCCTTCCCCTCAAAAAGTCATTCAAAATATAAAAAGACACTGGATATTAGATGGCTCAGCAGGGGAAACACTTGACATTCCTCAGTTTGAGAAGAGAGAAAGAGAGAGGTTATTGTAAATTAGGGTGGACGATCGTGGAGTCTTTTCTTGTTGCATTACAGCTTATTGTCTGTATGCAATAACCTGCATTTGAAATGTTTTAGCCTGAGGATACCCACTGTTCATAAATCAGCTGTATAGTTGTGGGGACAACCTACAAAGCCAGACTTCCTCAAAGATTTATAACCTCCCCATTATCAAATTGACTCTGGGTAGGCATAGCTAAGAAAGTACAATACCGCATTGTTTCCTTCTCTGCTGGTCTACCCAGTGAATCTCATCTGTATATGTCCTTCCAAGTCCCGATTTCAGAGCAAGCGTACAAAACTCCCATTGATCAACTGGCCAAGCCGTCAGGTCAAAGCTAGTGGTGGTCTTGTTTGTGCCCATCTTCTCCACTCTGCTGGTTTTATTTCATCTCCTGCACCTGGGTTAATTGCTGCAATTGACTGATTCAGTTGGTGCAATGGGATGTAAATGAAGTTGGAAAAAAGGAAGGGGAAAGAGCTGGGTGGGCTGCAGAGGCATTAGGAAAAGCAAGACCAGCTGCATCCTGCAGAAACCCAGGTCAGCTGAAAAGTATAATATGCACTTGAAAAAGTTAACTGTGCAAATTCAATAGCAGGGTTCAGATTGTTAGTGTTTTTGCTGACTACTCCAATGAGTCCCAGCACTCCTGTTAGTATCCTGGACACAGAGTGCACACCCCACACTCACGACACTCGAGGCAGGGGGTGAGCCTGTATGCTACAGTATTGTCCTGTACTCTCCTTGGTCTCACTTGCAGCGGAAGTGGGTCGTTCTGTACTCTGAGACTGAGAACGATAACATCAGCTGACAGAGCTCCAACTTCTGTATTTATTATCAAACGTGAGCAGAAGTTAACAGCTGCCCAGGCCTTCTTGTAAGAATTAGTATGCAAGCATTTTTTCAATGCTGCTCAGACAGGCAAGAGGTCTGCTCTGAAAGGTCGCTGCTTCTTTCCTTCCTTCTCTGAGAGGTTCTAGGAGCAGCAAGCAGTAGCTAAGTTAAGCATGCGGATGGGTCTAGTTTTCACTCTTGAGGCTAATAGCCTTATTTCTTGCTCTTAGAAACAAAAAAAAAATCAGCTTTCCCAGTTGCCTGTGCCCACTGCTCTCCCCTCCTCCAACAAAGAAATTGTTTTTCTCCCAGCATAACTGAATCTCACTGCAGCAGCTTTGTTGCTTTGCTGTTAGAGAAGCATTTTCAAAGACCTATAACTTTTTCTGAAGCCCGTTGCTTCCAAGAGGCAGTCTCAGTCTAGCAAGGGACAAGTTACAAAGCAGAACAGGACCTAAAGTGACCTTTAACTATCACAGGTTTTATCACCTTTCAAAGACAAACCTGCTGTTTGGGCTCTTCTCTGAATACAGGCCACATTGCCTGGAGTCCATTTCTTGCTCCTTTAGGGCGACTTTCCACAGTACCCTGTACTGGTCTGCCTTCGCCATGAAAATCCATTGACAGCCAGTCTATCATGACATCCGAGCTCCAGCTATTCCTGCCAAAAGAGCAGAACTCCCTAAGTAACCAGCATTATCGCTTCTCGAAGCAAAGCTCACCTTAGGTGACATTTTTCATTTCACATTGCCCTCTAGCCCCTTTACCAGATGTTCAGCAGTTGCTTGAAGAACAATAATTGGCTCAATAGGAAAAAACCCTAAAACTTTCCCTCAATTCATATTTGAAATAGCACCCGCAACTATGCTTTAGTGTTGGCATGGTTTAGAAACCTTACCCCCTCATTTAGCAATGAGTAACCATTTTACAAAGACAAGATGGGGGAAAAGCAGCACTCTCTTCAGAAACTTCAGCTCTTCCTCATGTCAAACACACTGAGACCTAAATATACCTTTCTCCCTCCTAAGCAGGGGAAAGGCACACCTTTCCTCTTAAATTATCCCCTCAATTAGCACGGTTGAATGAAACTCAGATCTCTTTTTCCCAGCCTCAAATTAGCTTGAAAGCTTCTACCTGTTTCAGACTTAAGGAAGGACTTGGCTACCTAAGAATTTATTAGTTTTTCTAGCAATACCTTTTACTCTAGTAAGAGGTGTTACCTTGCTACCTTTTCATCATGTAGTTAAAGCTCACTCCTATGTTTTACATCATGATAGCCATAAATGTTTTTTTGGAACTATTACCCCCTCCTCCCCTCTCCCCCCCCCGCTGCCACCAAGGGAGGAAGAGGAAAAAGCATTAAAGGTCAGTTTTTAAATCACAGCCGTTGGTCATCCAATTGCACACTCGGCTCTGCAGTGCCTTGAATCTCATGTCTCATGCTTATGTCCTTTCACAGAGCTCTTTGCTCTTCTGGATGAAGTCCAGAAGTTTTTAACTTAAGAGTTTCCATTGATAAAACAGTATTTTAAGATTCCTGTGTTTAAAACTGTCAAAAGGTGTAGCTTCTTGCTAATTGTCTTTAACATATATTTTAGTTAAAATCTTTAGAAATTAAGTGGCTTGCATTTTCAGGCTTACATTGTTAAGAAACCTACACTTGCAGAGGCCTGGTACCATTGTGTGCTAACTGTTGCTTTTAATATCTGGTTAAAGTAGTCTCTTCTCTTTTCAATTAGCACTTACAATAAGGCATGGAAAGATGCCCAAGAAGCTCTCAAAGTCCTACTCCAGAGAGAGAGAGAAGACAAGTCCCTCAAGCCAGAGCAGGACCGTGGGACAGCTTTCAAAACATTAGCCACTTTCTATATCAAATACATGCAAGTCTTCCATAACTTGGAGATGGCCTACGACGAAACTGTTTGCCCACAAAAGCAACTAGTGATTCAAGAAGTGCTAGAGGCCGTGATGGGCCGGATCCTGGAGTTGAAAAATGACATGGTGACGCTGGAGAAGTCAGAATATCATTACTTTGATGATATCCTACAAGATCTAGACCTTCTACCGGTAGGTCTACTTCTATTATGAGCAAATTGAGCACAGGAACTTTGCCTGTATTTTAAGGGCAGTCAAATTTACTGACTGTGAAGTTGTACCAAGTGGCTTCCTGGTTGTTCAATAGTTTGCTAGGTGACCAGTAGTTATGGCATCTTTTATATTAAAGATAACGCCTCAGAATATAAGTGATCAACAGTGTGCTTTAGATGTTGGAACAAGATTTTAAAAGCTGATCTGTGTGATCAGTATGTTGCATTTCTGCTTCTCCATAGCAACACAGACAGGCTCTGGGGATCTTTCTCATAGATGTGTTATGTCCTAACATGAAGTCATATTAGCCTAGTCAGTATTAATGACAACAGATTGACTGCCTGATTTTAGCATGGGATTAGATAGAAGATGGGCAGCTGATAACTCAGCTACCGTCCACTTCAGTCCGCCCTTTACTTCACTGTGAATCAGCTTGGCCTCAGGGCTCTTCCAGAGGTTAAAGATAAAGCTAAAAGGTGTGTAGTCGGGTCTAGTAGCTAGCAGTAAACATTACCAAAGTGATAAATCTGAGACAAGCCTCTTATTGCAAAATAGGGAGGGGCTGGGAGCATATTTAACATCCAAGGGTAAGAACTGCCTGATGCAGAAGCAGCTCCTTGAAGAACAGCCCACTAAACCAGATGAATATGACAGTAAGGTAAAGTCTGGGAGTCGTGCTCTAAAAGCAACACGAAAAATAACTAGCTGTTAATAGATAGTTACTTTTCTCGCAGACAGCTCCACCTATTGTCAAATTTAGGTACTGCTGGTAACAGCTTTTCTAAAGGAAAAAGTAAATTGAGTTGAAGCTTAAATTACCACTGTTTTCCAGACCTCGGTTATAATGTGAAATAAATTGCCTAATATCATTATAGCATTATTTTTAGATTTCAGAACACGTTACTGTTTGCAATTGCGTGTGTAGTTCATTCTGCAAGTTTAGTGTAGTGATTGCCATTAATTTCAGTTAGCTCTTTACCTGCTACATAAATTGTAGCAGAGAACTATTTTAAACTATGAGAAGGCATACTAGAGAGTATAAATACATCTCTGGAGAAACTGATCGTTCAAATCATATTTAGAAATCATTAAATATTGATATTTTCATGATTTCTCGGTAAATCTACCACAGAGAGAAGTTGGCAATAATGAAAAGGAATGCCTGACATCTACAAAAAAAAAAAAAAAAAAAAAAAAAAAACAAATTCAAATTCCTGCACCACATCTTAATTTTAAGAAGGCATGACATACCTGCCCAGTACAAAAAAGCACTGGATGTATTTAGGATTTTTTAAAAGAAATAATTATTCCCCACAGTAGATAAGAGCACACATTTAAGTAGGCTTTTTTGTAAAATAATCGCACAGTCTTGGTTCCAAAACAAAATTATTGGCCAGTACTTGACCAATTCTGTTTCTTAAAGAATCTGCTAAGAAGGGATGTCCCGCATCCTTCTTCTCACCAAATTATGACAGGCTAAAATCCAGCATGGTTGTAACTGGGAACACAGCAGAGGTACTATCTCACTTTACAGCTTACGGATGATATTGCAGAACACTTCCTTTACTTTCTGCTATGTCACTCTAAGTCCAAGCTTCCTCTCTCTCCCGTTCTGTGCCTCGCTTTTTTCTGTGGTTGTCTTCCAACACTCAGTCACTTCATTTACAAGTGTAATTTTAAAAGTGTTTGGATACAGAAATCCCGTGGAACAGGGAGTGATTAAAAGGCAGCCAATTTATCTTGAAGGTAAACATCACAAGCCTAGTTTTTCCGCAGTGTTGGCCCCAAAAAGTGATTGCAAAGAGAAGTAGTCTTCCCCGCTTCCCTTGCCCCAGTGTTATGGCTTCTATCTACTCTTTACAGTGAGTAAAAGTCATTCATGCTCCAGAAATGATTGGAATTAAAGCCAGGTTAGAGACCAGAGATACTCACCACCCCTATGCTGACTGACTTGCGCTGCTACCTGACTAAGCACGATAGCCCTCTCATCCTTTGCAGGGATGACCAGACAAACCGCTGGTTTCTTATACTTATAGACAGCCAGGTTTGTAATCCATTCTAGAGCAATTTTCACTCTTATAAGGCAACATAAAATCATTTCCGTTAACAATCACTATTTTGGAAGGTGCAAACAGAGAGCTTGGCTGGACATACAGACAGAAACAGACCTCAGCATTGATAAAATCAAGAGATAAACACAATCCCACTGGGAAGCTTACTTAGGCTGCCATAATAGGGATGTCCTGGACTGCAGTATGCAACTGGGGGGAGTAGTAGTGCAGTTGGTAAGGGGACAGTTCACAGGGGCTGTTTTCGTTGGCACAGCCTTTCCTGCACATTCTTGCTCTAGAAACTGCAAGGCCTTAAGAGTTCACAAGCAGCATATTTACACCCCGTGCCTGTAGCAGGGGAGGAGTGGTGCTTGTTCCTTACATTCAGCACTTTTCTTCTGCTTTTGCTCACTGTATCTGTCCACACCAGAGGTGTCAGTGAGGCTGCAAAGGACCAAGGCAAAGGTCTTTAACTTTAACTGAGCCAGTTAAAGCAAACCAGTTGCCATAGTTAGCAGCACAGAAAGCACTGATAGTACAACATCAAGTCCTATAACTGTCTTTGTCTCCTCGCCCCGAAGGACCAAGTGCTCACGTATACCTGGAGACAACTGTGATTTGACTGTGCTATTCCAATTTGTAGCATGACAGGGTAACTCTACTGCTTGCCTCCCCCTGTCCCTCAAGGTAAACCATTTGCTTGAGCAGATATTCTAGACATTCCTGAAACAGGGTATTAGGACTATTGCACCAATATGAACTAGACCTATGAAGAGCCCCCCAAAGAAATACACTTGCCAGAAACTATTTTGAAGAATTGTCTCTGGTGTTCAATGCAAAGAACAGGTTATTCCATTCTGCAGCATCTGAACTTGTGGGATACTTTTCCCCTGCCTCTCTGTCTTTTCTTTCATTACTCAACATCAGTGAAGTTCTACAGGAAAAGAATCAGTAGAAATGTGAATCAGTTGCATTCTTTTAATGACGGAAATGAAAATAGACAGCCATTTCTAATCACCATTGATTTTGAGAGGTGAGATATCGTAGATACGACCAGCCTAGAAGTACCTGTAGATGAACAGACTTAACCTGGTTTGGTTCCTGTAATGCTTCAAAAATACAATACAGCTGATTTATTTTTCATGCTGATTAAAAAAGAAAAAAGTGGGATGATCATACAACCAGAGGTATTCAGTTCAGTGGACATCATGTTCAAATTACTGGCAATCCTGCCAAATTGTTCTAATAGTTTCATAATATAATTGAGCCATTATGAAAAGAGAGATTTCTCGGCTGCCATGGTTCAGAAACTGGGTTGATTTATTTGTTGTTGTTGTTGAATTAGGCCTTAAGCAATTGCAAAGTAACAGCCCAGCAGCCACTGCTGAGGTCAAATCCCTAACACTCCAAAAATTCAACAATCTCAGTCCAATTTAATTACATTGTAAAGGTGTTCAATTAATAAGTAATGTGATTTTAATGCAGTTCTAAAAAAGCAACCCGTGACTATTTTTTCCCCTAGGAAGACATAGAAATACCTATCCCAAGGTATTTTGTTATTGAAAAGCTGAAAGGCTTGGAGAGAGAGAAATTCCTTGCTCAGATTTTATTTAAAGCTGGATTACAAACACAGGTAAGTGTACTGCATACATATACAATAACTCTTTTTTTCCTCATAGCCAAACATATCTGAGCATATGAGCAACTAAAGTGAAAAGTATTTTGACAGTAGTTAGAAAATAAAAGCCTGTTTACAGATAAGGCACAAATAGAAAGTAACACTGACTTTTTTTTTTTAATGTCTACCAACACCCAGTCACATCTTGAGTCTGAGTAAGACTGAAATTAATTGACTCTGCTGTGCATGAGTGTAACAGAAAGGGCAGTACTTTGGCCAAGTTTAATACGTGCTTTGTTACCTAGCTGACTCTCATCACATAATTAGTCCTACTGAAATCAAATTGGGCTTTAAGTTTCACTGAACCAGGCTTTGAAACAGGCAAAACTCAGAGTTCACATCAGCATAACTATTAGCATTCAGTTGTTTATAACCTCTGAACAATGACTGCAGTCTCTTCTGTACAGCTATAGAGCTGCAGCTGCTAGGAGGGGTAGAAAATTGAGTTTTGGCAGAGCAAAAGTCATTACAGAGAAGTGCGTTTAAGTGCTCCAGTGAAGACTGTTCTGGATTTGATATACTTTTGACCTTTTGAAAATGGCATACTGCCTACAAGCAGTGGTTGCTAACCTTCCGAAATAAACAACTGTGCCTAGATGTCTGGACAACTTAGATTCATAGATGTTATAGCCATGAGAGACAGTTCTGATCAGACCACTTAGTTAAACCGCCGCACTACCCCAGCCATTGAGACCACTTAGTTAAACCGCCGCACTACCCCAGCCATTGAATTCTACACAGCAATTGTGCTGCTGGGGGAATTCTCTTTGCCTGCTGCACACATGGTACTATCAATCCCACGAAGTAACCGAGGGAAGGTTCCCAGGAGACAAAACAGCACCGGTCTGAACGAGGAAGCCTATACAGACAGAGCAGATGCTCTCTGCTAGATTACTCTAATGGGCAGCTACAGTCCTCCCAGCCTCCACAGTAAATCTCTGTGTAAATTCTCTGCACTTTCTAGTGGTCAGATATTAGGTGCTGTGGAGATCCTCTCTTTCAGCAGATTACGTCGTGAAGCCTTTATGTCTTCCCCCAGTTCTGCTCTCATCCCCCCGTTCCAGACTGGCATCAGTTACAGACAAGGCTGGCGTGCAGCCAGCTCACCTGGGAACACTGGGCTCTCGGGCTCTGGGCTCTGGCAGGGTCCAGGTCTCCCTTAAGAGGATGCCCCAAGAGAAGTGTAGGACTCAATGAACTTGAATAAAACAATCTCACATGAACACAGTATGAGTCCAGTGCCCTATGCTGCACTTCCAGAACAGTTTGTCTGCTGATTTCCTCCTCAGATATCACCACTAGGATTGCTAGAGGGTTGTCAGCACTTTTACATGCATCACAGCAAGCAATATATACACTCAGGAAGTCCTGACTGCCTGGTAACAGACCGCTGTATTCTTAAGCGTCTGTGGCAGAGCTGTTAGAAGTGCTCTAGTGTACATTAAAAACGGTGTAGTTCGGCAGAGGTGTTTACTTTGCAGATCGTTTGTCCTTCTCTGTATTTCTGCTATAGGAAGCCCTGCTGAAAATGTAGTATAGTGAGCTCTATGCAATATATATAGAAGCATCAAATGTGAACTGTCTCCAATAGAGGGATTCATGTCAGTAAAGGACAATACTTCAGCCTATCCATGGGGAAGATGAGGAGTTAACAAGAATTCTCAGGAGTGAGAAGGGAGAGTCCCTCTCTCCAGCTGCATTGCTCTGATATATTTTTCCCTAAGCCTCTTCTAGCTGCTCTGGGCTGACCAGGTCTGGGCTGGCCCAGAGCAGCCTGTTCTTTCATTCAGTAAGAGAGCTGGGAGCCCAGCAGCACTTCCAGAAACCCATCCCTTCAGAAATTAGAGGGAAAATTAAAGGAACACATTCCGTAGCCTAAGGAATTTTCTTTTTTATTGGACAAAGCCCTGTGGTTCTTCTTGCCTTTTTTCTCAAGTAGATAAAGTTCAGCAGAAAGCATAAGCTGTATAGAGCTGTTCTTGCTTCCCACTCTAGCATCAGGAGGTCCCTGCTGCTCAGGGATGCTGCTCAGAGCTGTAGCATCTGTCTTCTCTCCATCTTTCATCCATCTTTTGCTAGGCCCAGCCCTACCCAACTATAGTCGTGTAGAAAACACATCAACGTGTCAGGTTCCTTTTCTCCTTAACGTCCTCAGAAAAAAAGTCTCTCTCAAGTTAGCAAATTTTCAAGATAGTCCAGGGTAGCACTAAGACAGAAAGCCCTCCTGTTTGTGATAGGGGATGTTTCGTGTTGGAAAGTTTCCACAAAAAGTTCATTGGTCATTTCACTTGCTGACCCAGGTAGACAGTTAACAAAACACAAATCAGGATTTGAAAAAAGTTCTAGACTGTAACTCTAATACTCTGCTTTTTCCATTCACTTTTGGCTGCACTGTTGAAGAAACCTGTCCAGTCCATGGCTTTTGAAGAAGCTATTAAAATGATCCAGGTTGCAGAACGGGCTCGTCAAGACCGCCTTCGAGCAACATGGATGAAGCAAATCTACCTTGAAGAGAAGAGATATAGACGAGCTAAATTTTGGGGCAAGATAGGTCCAAATCCAGATCATGCTGCCACTTGCATTCAAAAGGTGAAATCTATCTCAGAACAGTAGTTCCGCTAGGACTAAGTAATAATGTTTTGTTCAGAAGGACAGCAGTAGACAGAAACACCGCTCATAGGATGAGAAACAGTCTGAAAGGATATCTCTCAGGCTGTTTAGTAAGGTAAAATACATCATTTAAACCATTTAAAGTAATGAGACAGAACCATAGATGTGAGATCAATGGGAACAATCTTGCACTGGCAATGCAGGGCAACTTTATAACTTACATGTTTTTCCATCCTGATTTTTATGACCTCAGTTGATCTTTCTGGCATCCCCTTGAAATCCAGGGCATCTCAAGGAATTCATGCCTTTTACTGTGGTCTCCAGGGAAAAAGTTCATCCCAAATCCTGAAAAAAAAAAAGAAAGGGAGATCAACGCTAAATTCCAAAAAAAGTCCTTACACATAAATAACTATGTGAATATTCAGCCTGGTGAGAACAGCAGTTCAGTCTAAGTCTTTAGTCTAAACACTTTTTCAACCCTGATGGGGTTGTGTTAAGAAGCTAGATATACCAGTGAAGGAACAGGAAACTTCAGAAATTGTTTAAAGCAAAATACAGCAGATGCCAACCTGTTAAAGAGTAATAGATTCAATTGTATATTGTGCCTTTCCTTCCTCTATTTGTTTTTTCCTGTGTCTGCCAAAGTAAAGGAAGCTGTAACCAGACCTATTTATCTCATTAGAGTTTTGTTTACTATTCAGATTTGGCGTGGATTTATCCAGCGCAAGAAAATAGAGAAAATGAGAGAAGAGGAGATGATATTCCTGGGGATGGTGAGTGGTACTACCTAGAGAATATACAATACTACCGTCTGTTTGCTCTTCAGACTTCTGTGATTTAACAGAAAATGAGAAATTAATTTCTAAGATTCTTTGTATTTTTAAAGGGGCCTCTAAGGAATACAGAACTAAACTGAAATAATAGATGGCACAGAAGTAGGACAATTTGTCTTATGCTGCATGCTCTTGTGATATATATACATAGTCCAATGTATACGGCAGATGTGGAAACAGATGGTGTAGAATTTGCCCTGGGTTTTAGGGAATTTGACCCAGACATGACAGAGCAAGGAAATTGTGTTAATCAGTTTGCAACTCATAATGCCAAGATACTTGAGCTGCCTTATTCCTGAAGTAGAAGTAATGTAGCAAAGTCTTCTCCTCCTACCCCTTTAAAAGCCAGGGTGTGGGTATGTCAAGAGTAGTAAGTATGGCAGTAAAACTGCCATATTAATATATTCCTATTTCCATAAGTGCATATGGAAATAAAGAACCAAAACATTCCTCAGAGCATACTGTAAAAGCACAGGGAAGTAAACAGCTCTCCATGGTCAATGAGACTGCATGGGGTACAAGTAGAATGAAAACACCCCTACTTACGAGACAGACAGACAAAAGAATCTTCTCTTCCTCCTCCCACAATCAGAGAAGGTACATCTCCTCCTCCCACCAACCTCTTCCTTCCTAGCAGGAGCCTGAGAAATAGGATAGGCTCTTTACAGATGACGTTTTCCTCCCTCAGCAAAGCATCTTTCCCCATGGCTCTTTTGGTGCCTTCATCAGGCACTACACAATTGTCAAGCCTTGCAGCTCCCTTCAACTCCAGCTACAGTAATGCCTCCCTTTTATGGAGTTCTAGTTAAGCCACTTTCTAGAGCTGCTTTACAGAAGCATTCATCACTGCTGTGTAATAGGTAGCTTTATTCATAACTCTGTGGTCTATAGTTGTTAAATGAGAATTAAATAATCGCATAATTCAGAATTAAAACGTACCTTCTGCTTCTCCTAGGCAGAATTTGAATGATTTTCTTACCCAGAAATGGAATTACGCCTAGCTATGCGATGGGTTTAGGAAAACTAATTGTGCCTACCAGCATACATATAACATGCATGTATCATCATTTAAGAACAACCTTAAAATCTTATCTTTGGAAAAAAAGGAACATGTACACTGACCTAAGTTACATTGAGTTAAATGCAGAAAACACCTTGTGGATTATAACCTTTAATATCTGCTAGGCATTAACAGTAAATGTGGCCAGCATATGTAAACAGAGCTGTAGGTGTTTCCGCTTCTATTTAGGACAAAGAAAATTCCCAGAGATTTTAACCAGTATAGACGGAAAATGCTGAAAGTTGGGATGTACTGAACATAAACTAGAAATTACACCTTTTGCACAGCAGGGGGTCATTTCCTATCAAATCCCATGACAGTTTTGGCAAGTCTTGAAACTAGAGTCATAGGGAGGAAATCTAAGTCTGGCATCACTTATTGAAGGGTTCACAGCCAAGCACTCTTTTCATGGTGGCCGAAGGTAGGAGTAACTGATAACTGGGATGTAAACAGCCATCTACTGTATTTTATGGGGGGGGAAATCTATGTGATCATAGGGACGAGGGGAATTCAAACCAAACACATACGGTCTATTCATTTCCTGACCTCCATTTAGGAGCAAGAGAATTGATGTTTGCAATTCTACTCCCGGACTCATTACTCTTTATCAAGTATCTAATCAAAGGATGTGGGGAAAAACGGATACCTCTAAATAGAAGAAATCTGTTCATCTTTGCAGTGTTTTCATATTCCCCGTTCATGTTTCTCTTGTACTTTTCATGCCGCATTCCCTTCTATGGTCTCCAAAGGAAGTAAGAGGCAAGCAGACATTGGTTCATGCTGATAGATAGGCAGTGAGCTCCAAAGGTCAAGTCCCTTTGATGTATGATCATGTCAGCCCTCTAAAAAATGACCACAGATCTTCATGTGTAAATAAGTTGAATTTGCTTTTCTAATGCTGCACGACTTAGATAAATTAGAAGACCTAGCCATCCATTACTCCAAGTCCATCCCAAAGGACTCCTGACTTAAACTGCAATAAATATAATTTCTCTTGTAATTACAGCTATTTTTAAAATGTGTATATTAGCTTTCATATAAAGAGTGCTTTGCAAAAGAGCTAATCAGTTTGAAGTTCTGAATAATGATTTGGGGGAAAATTCAGTCATGTCCGCCTAAAAGGTATGGAAATATGAGCAACAAAGATAGTCCAGCAATTGTCCAGTCTTTGGCTTAGTTCACTGTGCTCTTCACAGTGTTATTTTCTTTACTGTCTACTTACTGCAGAAAAATTTATGTATGTTTTCTGGAATTTGATTCTATTTCTTCTTTTACTTGATGACAGAGTAGAAGTCTATGTTCCAGAGATTTTTCTTGGCTCAAAAGTAAAGCCTCATTATTATTATTATTTATTAAAGCTTAATTGCAGAAACAGCATGATTCCCTCAGCACATGTTTTTCTAAATCTCCGATAAATCACAATTCGCGATACTGGCTTAACTTGTAAAAAGAAGCCAGCCTCAGTAAGAACGCATATATCTTGATAACTGTATCCTGACCTTTTTCCTGATCTTCCTCGTGTTGCTGCCACAATGCTGTTTACTACCAGTCCCAGCATGAACACCATGACCGATGTTCCAGTCCTAGGTCTTATGTTTAAGCCACACCAGCCGCACTGATGTTGCAAGAAAGCACATTAAGTTGTCTTGAAAACTTGCATGTGCTACCCAAACAAACCTTTGTTTCCTTGCTCTGACTATTTGACAGTTACAGAATAATTTATTTCAGTTTTTAAGCTGGCATGTACTTCCCCATGTCTATTTCTGGCTTATAAATTTTCTTTCATTAAGCAGCAAGTTAAAGGACACTATGATTGTTTCATATTGTGGCAGTGCAAACTGGCTATCAGCCTGGCATAACTGCACATGTGAACTGGTTTATGGTAACTGCTTTGTTTCAGAGTCGTGCAAAAAAGCCCAAGCCCTACTAATGGATCTACACTCAGTTCTTTCACTAACAGACTCTCTGAGCAGGGTAGGTCCTGCAGGAAGTTAAATTTATAATCTCAGAACGCAGGCTTCTGAGGAAAAGAAAAGCTGTTTTAACATAAAACGTTAGGAAAAACCGTCTGCAGTCCAATTAATTTGTGGAAGTGTAGGTGGAGCCTAGGAACAAGGAAGACAAAAAGACAAGACAAAATCCTTCCCAATTTAGGGACTCAGCCTAATGTTGCAGCTTTGAGGCCAGAGTATTCCAAATTCCCTTGCTCATTTTTTTACTTAAGGTGCACAAGTAATCAATCCCTTTGCAGCCATGCGCTCTACATGCTTAAGCAATTTATAGGACTGAGCCCTGGGTACTTTGGATGTGCACTCATATAAGAGTCCTCCTGTCTGACAGGTATATCTATTGATTTAGCTATGCAGCTGCAGTTACGCAGCTTTGACACTGTTTTATACCATGATTTCAGCCCTTGCCCAGAGGGAGTTAGTGACACAACATATGCTGATGTTCAGTTTTCTCCTATAGTATTTCCACTGTTTCTCCTCCTTCCATATCCTTTTCACATGAAAGGATCTATGTGGTCTTAAATAAATAACTGTTCTCTCACTCTTACCTCTTTTAAACATACCCTAATTTAGGCATGTTGTCCTGGGTAATGGTTTTATTTATATCTGAGAAAACAGTCTGCCAAACATTTCTTGTTCTTTGAATTCCTGATAGATATATTTCATTTCTTTCAGTCAGAAAAAATGACTATTTCCCAGAATAGCCTTCTGTGTAAACATTAAAGGCTGTGGCTAAATAAATATTATATGGAATTTAGCAAACTACAAAATCCATAAGTAAGTAAAATATAAAATATTTCTTCAACTCCTGAAAGCAGGCAAACAAGTTCCAGTAGTGGTGCACCCCAGGTTTGTTTTTATCAAGCATAAGTGTAAAACGTCCCTTGTTTTACTTACAACCTAGATGACGTTTCACATGTCAGCACCAAGAGCTTTATGTTATTTCACCATGCATACATATAAATCTAAATAGTAATAACTATTCTGCCCTTTTTTCATTACAATCTTTAAACCTGCTTATTTTCTAAATAGTAAGATGCTGGGAAACAAGAAACCTACTTAAATGTTGGGCTTTCATTAGCTAGTCACACTAACAATTAAATCACTGCCACCCAGATTCCAAAACATACTTCCCATTTTTAGTAGAAGTGGTTTGACAGCAAGCCCAGGTATAATATCTGAAATAAACATAACCAAACTTGTATAAACCTGTATGGTCATAAATAAAAATGTGTTTTTTCTACTTCAAATTTTATCTTTCTTTAATCTTTTTAATAAATGTTGCATGTCAATATTTATTTATGTAATATATAAATGCATAAAACAGCTACTTTCAATATTTTTCTAACAAGGCCTCTTACCACAAATGCTTTGTTTGAATGCATATGACAATTATTTTAATTGGCAAAGCCATTGAAGTGAATCATATAGTAGGGAAGCTTTAATGAATGCAATATATTTTGCTTAGTGGTTCCTTTTTGTGCCTAAATTAGGAATTCAGTTACATAATTGATATGGCTATCAGCATTTGCGTACCATGGCACCTATATGAACAAATACTTCATCAGGCAAGAGAGCTCTTCAAAATATATTCTTCCTGCAGCAAGGCAAAATACATAGAGAAAATAAGAAAGAAAGAATATAGCTAATTTATATGTTAATCTTTTAAAGATAATTTGAATCAAAGGTTAAAGGTCAGTACAATAATAGTCTTGAGCAAAGAAATGGACCGCAGTTGCTTGGATTGTGAATTCCTGTATTATTCTAGTACAGAGTTAGTTATCTGTGTGGTCCCAATGTAAAAAGTGGCGCTTTCACTACTCACAGAAATAAATGACTATTAAAAACACTTATTTTGCTTAGAAAATAAA